GATTTGAAGGAAGAGTTTTTTGCTCAATGTCAAGTGCTTTTTTGTAATATGAAAGTGCTTTCGAGTACTCTCCCATGTTGTGATATGCATTGCCGATGTTGCTATATAAAGTAGCCAAATAAGGATGATTTGAAGGAAGAGTTCTTTTCCATATTTCAAGTCCTTGTTCGTAATATGAAAGTGCTTTCGAGTACTCTCCCATGTTGTCATACACCAAACCGATGTTGATGTATGAAGTAATCAAATCAGGATGATTTGAAGGAAGAATTTTTCGTAGAATTTCAAGTGCTTTTTCATAATACCAAATAGCCTTTTCATAATCACCTTGATTGGAATGGACAACGCCAAGCTGGTTGTAATAAATCGCTTTTTCACTGTCACTAGATGTCCGTTCGAGTAATACGTTATAAAGTTCTTCAGCGTTATTAAACTGACCAATTTTAAGTAATAAATTACCTAATCTTTCCCATCCAGTACTACCGCCAGCCTCTTCTCGTATTCGATCAGTAAGTACTCGTAATTGTTGATCATCATCCGACGTTAATTGTAATTCAACTTGATAAAGTTGATTATTATTGTCTATCTGCTTAATTGCACTCACGCGAAAGAGTGTGTGCATTGAGAAGAGAATTTCTTCTTCTTCCTTAAAATAACTCTTCTCTTTGATGGAGGCAAATGGTGCTGATTTTGAAGAAGGATCAATGGACATCATGAAGAGAATGCCAACCATGTTTACGTTTTGTGATGCAATATAAGCAAGTCCAAGAGCTATATCTTGCTCGGTACTAGTGGATAAAAAGTTATTAAAAGATATTAAACCAGCTTGCGTTTTTTTTAGTTTTTCAAAACTTGCGTTGGACAAACCTTGTCCTCGGTAAACTATGAATGGTTTGCCGTGGTAACTATGAACCTGTTGTTGGTGTAGTTGTTCGATTTGTGTGTGAAGATTATGAATGAAAAAACCCATATTAATAATAGTATCGCCATCCATAGAGCGAAGAGCGTAGTTGAGCATACGATAGATATTGGATGGGAAAGTATACCACCAAATAGCTAACTGAGAACTATATTCTTTCTCAAAGCGGTCAATATATTTTGGTGACACGCAGTCATAATCTCGACAGTAAGTAATAAAGTGTTTGATAGCCTGTTCATTATGCTCCATATTTAGAAGAATTTCCTTGAACAGTTGGGTATACATAAAAGTTGGTTCTAACTGATTTAAGTTATCAGTTGAAGCCATGTCCTTTTCTGTGATAAAGCTCACGGCTATCGAGTCTTGATTGAACTGCTTGATATCGATTTGTAATGTTTGACATAGATGATCGACGTTGGTATGAATGCTCTTGATTTTTCGCCATTTTTTTAACAATTTTTCAAGTAGGACATTAGTATCATTGAGGATATAAATACCATGCAGTTGAAAAATATCATTAATGAAGGGCATTATTTGTTCAGATATAGTATCCTTCACAATGAGAAAAGACTTGATGTCTTCTTGAACATCTGTAAGATAGTCGATGCATTCATCTCGCTGCTTAAAGATATTGACATTGTTAGTAATGGTTTTTAACTGTGTCAAAATATTTTGATACTCATTGTTCGTTTCTTTCATACACTCATCTAACCAGATGAGTGAATAATCTTGTACCATTCGTCTGTGCCGTTTGCTATTATCAGCTATTGCTTCCATATCGTGTATTATATGATAATAAAAGGGTAATTGTATGAGTTTTTTGATCGAATAGACAGTGATGAAAGAGATGAATAAGCTTTATTATTTACATAAGAATCAGTTTTCTTTATCTTAATGTTTTGATGGCGTCATTGATTATCTTCGTTTATTTATTTTGAGTAATTGCAACAGAACTTTATCCTTTGCGTTATTTCATGTATGCTATATAGCCAGGTGAGTGCAAAGAACAAAAACAGAATTCATTTTTTTCAACTTTCTTCACAGACAAGAGATAATTTCGTCCTTGCTCGTACCTTAACCAAAAAGATTCATATGTAGAAACCTTTTTAGGATTTCCTTAGTTCCACTTATCATTAAAATATGCGCTTTAAGGGTTTTAATCAGTTCGTGGTTTCATGTGCGTATTTACATCATTCATTTGCTAGTCAAAAATCTTATTATAATTGTTGTAATGGATGCACATTTAATATGTTTACAACATATAATAGAAATCAATGGTCAAGCAATGACCAATGTTCAAATATATGCAGCTTAGAGAACATATTACAGAGGGTGTGGGTGTGGATACGGTTGTAGGTGGGTGGGTTATGAGATGATAGACACCCTGAGACAGGCACTCTGCTTAGAGACCATTATGAAGTTAAAGTGGACTTTGCTGATCTCAAGCAGGTCATCTGACTAATAACGATAGCTGATATGAAATCAACTGTTGATAAATTACTCGATGCATTACGGAGTCAAACTAAACAAAAACATGAGATTGTTAGATATGATAATTCTTTAATTAAACCATCTGATGGTCTACCAACTGCCGCAATAAACTTACGTGATGCTTACTTTGCCATGAGAACACGCGCTATTCCTCTTAATGAAGCAGTATATGGTATGTACTGATAGAGAACGTAATTTCTTATCCACTAGGCATACCATTACTGGTACCGGATTAAATAATGCAACAGCGTCATTGGGATTATGTGCACAATTTGATTGAAAAAGGTAGCACTATCTTTGGCATGGAAGATTCATTGCTACGAACAGTTCGCATTGCAGACTCGTCAAAATAATATCTTTAAAATCTAAATCATTTATGTAATTTTTGTAGAATGAAAGAGTTTATTAGAATAAAACTGTAATCAGTAGAGTAGAATAAAATACATGTTACAAATTCATTTAAAAAGAACGAATTGTTCAAGATCTGCTGGATTTACAGTTACTTCGATGTCATTCAGTTGATATCCTTGAAAAGCCATATTTAATTTTCTGCGTCCTTCTGATGCATTACTAGTAAATATAAGACATTTTTGATGAAATCCAAGTCTACGTAATTCATAAAGTAGACGAGCACCAGCATCGCTTGGAGAGCTCTCATTATCTCGATTCATATCGGTAACAATACGAAAAGTATCGCTACATTTCAATCGTTTTCCGAATTCCGATCGAAGAAAGGAGACTGCAGCTTCAGTTGAAGATTTTGGAATGAAATGAACATTAAGCTGAGTACCAAGTGTACTAGCTTTTTCCATATGTCCTTTGTTTTCCCACCAATCGTGAAATATATGATCATCAACCCACAATACGACATGCTTGCAAAGGCCCAATTCAATTTATAATATCAATTTAAGTATAAAATTTCAAAATGAAATAGATTATTTACTTGTCTCATATAAATGATGTTTTTTCTATCTTTGACATCTAAATGACATACTAGAAATGTTGAATGAGGTAAGAAAAGAACTTCATCTTCTTCTTGAAAACAATTTGAATAATCTCGTATACTTCGACCAGTCAATGAATGAATAATGAATTTAGTATTGCGTTTGTTAAAATATGTAAGACGTTTGTCACTGCTGTCATCACCTTTATCAGAACTACTAAACTGAAGCCATGTAATAATTTCTCCAGGTTTGTAATCTTCGAGATCTTTATTACTTAAGTTGACATATCTCACAACTCGACCCCAATAGAAATTAATATGTGAAAGACCTTTGATAAGATAATACATAATCATAGCAGCATTATCATCAACTTGAACAATATCTGCATTTATTGCTTTTGTGCTTTGCCATCGTCGTGCGAATTTATCTGCATTTAAACTAATCATCTCACTATATGTGCCTGTATAAAAGGCAATGGCAAATGCATATGCTTTAGCATCATCTTGATTAATACGTTTTTCTAGAAAATGGTGATGAGATTCATTACTTGTCGTAACGTGCTCTTTAATATTGTCGCTGTCGTACTTTCTACATGCTTCAACAAGATTTGAGTATGATGGTTTTTTACTACGAATTAACATTTCACTGAGTGCAGGCCCAAAATCATCTTCAACAACAGCAAATTCTTCACGTTTCTGAAGAAGTTGAGTTGCATTTTGATAAAGAATAGCTGATTCTAGATGTTTTTCAACATCTTCCGATTGAAAGTTTGATGATAACTGTTTACTATAATAATTTGGAATTTTACCAACTAATTGTACGTAACAACAATGTTGAAGCCGCATGTTTGGATCCCCGATGTTGGCATGTTGCATGAGTTGAAAAATACCGTTATGTGGCACACGTTTATTCAGTCGATCCAAGTCGTCTTTGTCTATCATATACATTAAACCAAGTCCATCAGCATTTCTGTGAGCCATGAATACACAACGATTCTAAGATCAATTCAAAATATATAACGTAAACCTTCTGAATACTAAGAAAAAAGAATGGTCGAACCTGATTTTATTCAAGAACTGTTTTCGATAAAAAGATTGAATTTCTCACACTTATTTGGAAGTTTCAGACGTTTTACAACATCTGAGAAAAACAAATTTTCTCCGCTTTTAACAATAGCTTATCAGTCTAAATACTCATGTACGGCATCTTTTTATACTAATAATACGATTGCTTTGAAAACTCTATAGAAACGTCTTAGTCAAAGACTTCTAAGTTCAATCCAGATGTAACCATTTTGCTAAGTTCGTTAAAAAATATTTTTTATTTTTTATGAAACAAAAATCAGTTTGAAATAGTTTTACTAAAATATTATATACAATCAATGGCGAATTTAAGTAAGAGAAGGGAGCAGCATGAATAGTCGTTCTGCTTCGTTGATATGTATGTTTTTCTCATTTTGCTGTCACAATAATGAATATTTATTTTTTTAGTAAGTAAATCATCATCTTAGTTAAAAACTTATCAATCGAACAGATTAAAAAATGATCAGGAAATATCCGTTATTTTATTTATCAAATGCAATTACTTGAGAGTAACACGCATCACTTTATTTTATTATTTCTAGACTAAATTTCAACAAACAAATAATAATTAATCCATTAAAATATCTCGATAAGTAGGATATATAATATCAGATGACTTTTTCATAATCAGATTCGCTTTCGTACCTCAGATTCATTAAGTGAAAAAGAAATATTTCTTCATTTATGAACGTTAAATACTTATTAAAACATGAAACTTATTAATTTATCCTTTTATAGATACTAAAAATTAGATTCTATAAACATAATATACAGTTTAAATAAAATGAATTTCTGCTTGTTGATAAATAATCTTGGATTTGTTTTTAAAAGGAATAAAGATAGAAAAATATAATACTTACAAAATGTAAATTGTTTCAGTCTTATCGTAAGTTGTAACAGAAGATGATAGTTTGAAAGCTTAGTAATAGTTTGTTTATTTAAGAAGAAAACGCACGTATTTATAGGAAAGAGAAAAATCCCATATGATTATGTGTAAAGCAAAAGAAGAAAACACTGCATGATCATATATGTGAAAAATAGCGAACGAATACTCTATATGTTCGCTTACACAGATACGATGTTTTTTCGTCGATGTCTGAAGTTGAAGTGAATACAAAGCGCTGGGAAAAATAAATTTACGATAGTGAAAAATATTCCGTCTTCTTCTTTTCGTTTTTCTTACATATTTAGTGATGTTTGTGAAGAACAACAAATTCAATTTTAGAATGCATCAAAGCATGAAAAAATATCTTTCAAAGAAACAAAATTTGTTTTATTTTTCATTTTATGTTGGCAATTGTTGATTCAACAAAAGTTTGTAGAACTGTTGTGAAATCAAACTTTCTTATTACGAAAAAGCATCATCTGAACCAATTTTTATTCAAATAAGTTTATCTGGAAGCAAATATTCATTTAATTAAATACGATATTCGTAGAATATAAATGAGAAATCATTCCTTTCATTCAGTATCGATTAATCTTTCACTTTAAATGACAACAAAATATACCTCTCAAAAAATTCTTGGAATATTCTTGAAAGATAGAATTGTATCTAATTTATATCTACAAATAAACTCAACGAAATTGATGTTACAAAATTTTTAGCTATAAAACTTATTGAAAATGAATATTGTATTCGAATATATTATGTTGGAAGAAATAAATCTCTTTATCTAGCTCATTGTTTTCTCGTCCTGACGATTTGATCAATTCCAAATATACATGTTTAATAAACCCCTAATAAACAGTATTTTAAAAAATATGAGCTTTAAGCTTTTAATCAGTTAGTGGCAGTGGCGGATCTAGGATTTTGGAAGGGAGGGGCGATACCTGAGTAGGGGGGGGGTGATGTTGGCTAAAAACTATTTTTGAGTCCAATCGAAGTAGTGCGAACCTATATGTTCGTTCACTTTTGCTGTAAAAAATCAAAAAAAATTTCTCAAGAGGGGGGCGATCGCCCATCCCTAAATCCGCCACTGGTTAGTGGTTTCATGTGCATATTCACATCGTTCACTTACTAGTTCGAAATCTTATTAGAATTGTTGTTATAGATGCACATATAACACATATTTCAGAAAAATATCTGATATTAAGCATCGACTTGGTGTGTATTATAACAAATTTCAATACGATATAAAATTAATCAATAATATTACTATTATTCTACTTGCAATCATGGTAAAATGTATGAAGAACATTATTTTGATGATTAGTTTTATTTATATAAATAAATCTTTAAAAAAAAATATCCATTTTATCAAAAAAGAACATAAAGACAAATATAGCAAAGTGTAGAATGTCAAAACCTCGACGAAAAAGAAAGCAAAATGAATTAATCATCATCTTCATCATCATCATTATCATTATCATGAAAATTCACATG